ATGTTATGACAGCAATTTCTCGGCAGGAAGTAGACTTGGTTTTATGTCGTACAGCACGGCAGGAAATTCTCTTGATGAAGGTAAGTTCTGGTTGCGCTATAGCTGCAAGAAGATTGGTGTTACGTTCTGATTCGCAGTTTCAAAAAATGAATTTCGAAATAAAGATTCTGTTTAACAGGTTCAGAAATGATTTTCTCTCAGAGAATAGCTCGCAGGTAAGAATTTTCAGATAATGATAGTTTATCTGAGTATTGGTATCAAGACTTTTAAAAGATTACCGCTTGTTGCGGAGAAGTAAGAGCTGTTCATTAGGATTTTTAATGTTTCATAAAATGTTCAAAATGCTTGTTTTTGGTGCAGTTCAATTCTCGGTTACGCCGAGATTGTCACACAGAAAAACGTCTTCAACATTATTAGCGATTAATTTGGCAGATTCAAACCGAAGATAATGTCATAACAATCTTGTTAAACAAAAGATTCAACAAAAGTTAAGAGAGCTGTTTACTATTTTTGCAGACTTGGATGGTAATTCGCACAGAGTGAGATTGGCAAGTTGGGAAAAGGCATAATTTATTTTTTTCCCATCATTACAAATAGGAGACTAATAGTTGATAGCTTCTTCAAACTTGGTTTTATTTTAATTTTGCTGAATTATAAAATTTGTTTGGGTATTGGTAAATAACATATGCCCACATAGTTCGCTAGATATGAGATTTTTCATTTTGTCAATGTTTAATTTCAGGCCGTTGCTGCAGATCGTGCACTTCGAACACAGGCGAGAGAACAAACAACTTTCCATGAAGATGATGAATCGAGTCAACTTACATAAGCTTTATATATATATATATATATGTCTTTTACATGTGATTTTAACGTAAAGGTCCAACATAATTCTGAATATTTTCAAAAGGTCTGAATATTTTAAAAAGGGGAATATAAAGATTTTAATCAAAATGAACATAATCAGTATTACATGGAATCATTTGTTTCTGTGCTTTTTATAGACTTTTTTCTACACGTTACCTGTTTCCAATCGTATACCTTCGAAACTTAAGTTCTTCGTTTTTGCCATGCATTCATGATTTAGTACTTCTAATTCAGTTTTGATTCTTGAAAGTATTGGAGAATGTGCACATCTCACTTTTTTTTTCTCTGAATGTTCATGTTATTGTTTTCTTTCATAGGATGATTACTACTAAAATTTTTCAAATTAATGATATATAATACAAGTTTTTATGGAAACTTTTGAGTATTGTTCCAAAAAAGGTTGTAAAAAAGTAGGGTTTTGTCTTTTGGTGGATTCAAAGTTTATTACCCAATAAAAGATGTTAAAAAAGGATGTCGTGTTGTCGTTTCGTTTACAATATTAAAAGTTAACCTCACCTGAGGATGTTTTTTTCCTGAAGTATTTGCTTTGATTCATCGTTAACTGATATATGCAATAACTTTGCATTTGCTGTCTCAGCTTCTATTAAACAAAAAATTTTGAGAAGATTCAGAAGTGGATGTTATTATGATTAGTACTAGTAATAACAGAATACAAGTGAGGAGTTTTATTTGTATTTATCAAAATTGTCCTCTTTAAGTTAGCTTATATAGGATGGAGTGTTATAAGAGGAGTTTTAGAGACAGACATTTGCAACGAGAAATATATTACTATGACCGACGAAATATTCTAACATTTTGTCTTTAATTTAGATTTTTCCTAATGTTTTTCCGAAAATGAGCAAAAAGAAAAAACAAAGTAGATGACATTTAGAATGTTAAACAAATGACAAATATATTGGAATAATTTTGTTAATCTTTGATGTGATAGTAAGAAAATTATTTGGTAACAACGACTTCCGAAATAGGGAATGATTGACTTATTGTTAAGCTTTCACATGAATGAATGGAAAGATAATTTAGATTAAATAAATTGCTTGATGGAATATTAGTTGCAGAAATTTTCATATGGGAAAATAATCATTATGGTTTTAATTCAAATATTTAGACTGTAATATTTGTGATATATGTATGATAGTTTATATCACTATGATTTATTACTTTAATTTTTTCATATTTTCTATTCTTTCTTTTTTTTTTCTTTTCAACTGATAGAATGGTTCAGCTAAAATAGTTGCTTTTTCTCATGTTCACTTTTTCGATTTATCACTTTTTCAAAATAAATTCTTTCATTTTCAGATTTGTAACGTATAAATTCCTTCAAATGGTATGTTGTTTGGGAAACTATTAAATTGGCGTTTGATCCGAAATTTCGGCTATTTCTATTGTGCTTCATATGCTCTAGGTCGTCATGTAGGTGAATTAGTGATATGTTCAGGACCATCGATGCATCCAACAATACAGGATGGTGATTTGGTAGGTATTTCTCAACTGTATCTTTTATTCATCGATTCATAGAGCTATGTGCAAAAATTCCTGAGAGTTTCAATATTTGTTGATTAATGAATTGAAATGTAATTCTTTTCGATAGCTTTTTAATAATTAAATGTTGGATGTGTTTTGTTTTAAAATTACCAATCCAAAATTTAATATTTAAAATATTCTATCTTTAACTTAATGTATGCAAATTTATGTTTTGTATTATCTTCATTTTATCCTGATAATATATTTGTTATTTTTGGTTTGAATGCTGCTGTTAATGAGAAGAGGGAGAGATTAAATAGTCAAATTATAGGTGATTGCTGAGCGGTTGAGTATCCATTTGCGTAACTTACGACGTGGCGATATTGTTGGCGCTTTGGCACCTCATGATTCGAGGGAAATGCTTTGTAAACGCTTAACGGCTATGGAGCATGATATAGTGACAAATTGTTATCTGTTACCGAATGGGGTGATTCCACGGGGACATGTATACTTGGAAGGTGATAACACGGTAGCTTCTACCGATTCTCGGGTCTTTGGTCCGGTACCAGCCGGCCTGGTACAAGTTCGTCTAATACTTAGGATATGGCCATTATCGAGGGCTGGATGGATATCGACACATTGGTTCTGGGAGAAGCCAAATGAGTAATTGATTTAGTTGTATAGATTTTTTAAGGCCTTTTTTGGTCGGAATTTCTGATCGTATAGATTTTCTTTTATTTGAAACTGTGATGTATTATGTGACGCTTTTTACATATGATTGAATGACTAGCAAACAAAGCGAACTAGGGTCATTCTGATTTTGTATTTCTGTCAAATATTTGTGAAAATAATTAGAAAAAAAAAATTAATTGGAAGTGCTATTGATGGCAATAAATATCTGCAAGTATTAACAACATAATGCCGTTTTTTTTTTTTTTTACAATCATTTACAACAGAAATATGCACATGAGACACCCTATTGCTTTTTCTATAAATGAATGAAGAGTTTGTTAAATGCTTACAGAATATTGTATGTCACTTTCTTTTCATTCAAAAATTTGTCTTTATATTTAAAAAAAAAAAAAAAAAACAGCCTTACACTTTAATTTTGCCACACTGTAATAATACTCAAGTACGGATGAAATTTTTCAGCTAAAGTTTAAAGCTAATAGAGAATGTTAATAAAAATGCGTACAGGAAATAATACAAAAATTAAATAATGACAAGTCATAAAGGGTATAAAATTTATAAATGTCAAGAAAATTTCACATTTACACTTTTCTCATTGATTTAAACAATTGCAAAAAATTATCAAATCTTCGAATCTGTTAGAGGTACCTGACGTATTTCCACTTTTCCATTTTGTTTTAATTTGAATAACTCGAAAAAAAAAAAAAAGATTATCGAAATTCTAAATCTACGAACAAACAATTTGCAGTAATTTTCTTGTTTTAGAGAGTTTGCAAGAATGAAATTTTGAAAAGTATGTTGTCCTGAAATGAGGATTAACGTCGTGAAATGTAAAGTGAGAATACAAGGTAATAAATGAGGTAGGAGAGAGAGAGAGAGAGAGAGAGAGGGAAAGACGGAAAAGCAAATTATAAGAATTGAAATAGAGTTAGTCGGTAGCAACAGAGCAATATTCATCGACGTGTTTGGAATCATAAGTTTTGCATTGTGATCTTAATTTGTTACGTTATCGCCATGGTGACGGGCCGCGTGTGGTACGTAGGGGCAGACGTAATAATAGCGGTACGTATTGACGTGTTAATTTTCACGTAAATGGGGACACGTAATTGGAGAGAGGGCGAAGTTATTTCTTATGTATACTTCATTTTTTACTTGTTACCGTATTACTTGCTAGTAGTTCTACCTCAATTTCAATAAATTTTATCTGCTTACCTGATTCTTATATTTATTTATAGAATTAACATTATTATTATTATTATTATTATTATTATTATTATTATTATTATTATTATTATTATTATTATTATTATTATTATTATTATTATTATTATTATTATTATTATTATTATTATTATTATTATTATTATTATTATTATTATTATTATTATTATTATTATTATTATTATTATTATTATTATTATTATTATTATTATTATTATTATTATTATTATTATTATTATTATTATTATTATTGCTAATGTTATCATTTATTATTGTATTCAAAAATTTGTTTCGCATGTACTTTTGATATCGCATGTACTGTTTGAATCATTGCAAAAGTTAGTGAATGAAGCGTTTTTTCTTTTCTTTTTTTGATGTAAGTTTTTGATTTTTAATACTGATTTTTTGATGTTACTTCATTTCCTTTCTACTTTTTGGTATTTCTTTTAAATAAACGTTTCAGGTACAGATTTTCCATCAATCCTTACCTTTTTTTTTCACTTGTTTCTGGAAAATCATTTCATATTTATGGCTGAAATTCCAATGTATAATAATAATAATATGATTTTGTGTCAGTTTGTGAGTTTTCATTTCTTTTCCATAAACAATCTGTTAACGTCTTTGTTTTTGCGCGAGATAAGATGGATACTGAATTTATTTCTAATGTAATAGAAAAATTATTTAAGGTAAAATTAACCATATATCTTTGCTGTCGTGAAATTAAACTGCAAGGTGAATCTATGGCGGTGAATGGTTTGTACGTAGTTCAAGGTGAAGTCAATGCTGTGGTAGCATTGCTGAAGAAAGCACACCGAAACTGGTCCCATCATCAGCAACAGATCCATTTAGGACACTCATTGCTTGATGAAACTGATCCATTGTTAAGGAATTTCGCAGATTTAAGAGATGTTTTCAATTCTGTAAGTTCCATACTTTAAAATTTTAAATCTCACTAAATTGAATTTCTATTTTGAATATTTAAACTGGTCATTAGAAGATTACAATATCAAATTCATTCTTCTACTTTGTGCACTCATTACATTTTTACTTTTATTGGCGAAAGAGCAATAGGCTTTGTCTTGAATGTTTTTGGTTGTTTGGATTTTCTTATTTACATGAAAACCGAAATAGAATAAAAATTGATGGAGAAATGATAATTGAATATGTAATGTTAGCAGTTTCTAATTTCTCTGTTTCCTTTATCATCTCTTTTATTTTTTCTCTGCTGATTATTTCTCCGTATCCTTTTCATAAGCTTCATTTTTTAATTGTATACCAAATACAAAAACATTTGCAGAGTCGGTTTTACGGTATGGTCTTTCTGTGCTTGAAACAGAGAGTGCTTATTATCTTCGTTAAAATTTATTATCTTCGTTAAAATATTCATGAATGAAAACATTTTAAATTCTTTTTAAGTGTAAATATTGTAATTAAGGTAAACGATTTATCGGATATGAATCCAGACACATATCTAAGTCCATTTCTTGATGTGATACGTTCTGATCAGACCAATGGTCCAGTAACGGCACAGGCTTTGTCATCCGTTGCTAAATTCCTTAGTTATGGATTAATTGATAGTTCAAGGTTATTTTCTACTTTCTATTCCAGTGAGTTCAGTTTTTGTAAAATTTTCTTAAATCCATGATTTATAAAGTTTTCTTGCTATCGATTTTCAAACATTGTAAATATTGCAGTATCAAAGCATCAAATGCAGTAGAAAATATTGCGGATGCCGTAACGCATGCGAAATTTATTGGTAGTGCTGACAGTGGTAGAGATGAAGTTGTTCTGTTAAAAATTCTTCAGGTTATTTGAATTTATGATTTCTTAGGAAAATTTTCAGTTCTTTACTATTTTTGATAGTAGCAGAAGTTCTGCTGTAAGTAGCTTCATTATTAGTGATAAATGAATTATTTTTCAATCCTCTTACATAATATGATGAGTTCGATTGTTTCCATTTTAAGCAATAAAAATTGTAGAGGCTTTATTATAGCTGTTTAAAACGTTGGTTTTTATTTATTTCTTCAGGTGTTGCGTACTCTTTTGCTTACACCAGTTGGGCGATTATTATCCAATGAAAGCGTTTGCGAAATGATGCAAAGTTGCTTTCGGATCAGTTTTGAGCCAGCTTTGAGTGAACTTTTACGTGAAGCTGCTGAAGCTACCTTATCAGATATGACGCAGCTATTATTCACAAGGCTACCTACATTTCAAGAAGATATTCGTCATCCTTACATTCGAAAACTAGTATTATCTTTCTAACTTATGTCGTTTATCAAGTATCTTCAAATTTCTCGGCATAAAATACATGCCTGATCTTAATGTAATGACTGATTTTGAAATCAGAATTGTTAATGTCATCCAGAGATGATTTTTTCATCCTTACCGTCGCGGAATTAAGTTGTTCTATTCTATGTCTTGATAATATGTGAATAGACTAGCTCATCTCTGTTTGACTTCAAAAATGTTATTGAGAGACTGAAAGGATTTTAATTTTAGCAGTTTAACTTAAAACAATTTTTCTACACAATTGGAATGTAATTTCGGTTTCTATTTTCCAGGTGAAGCGTGCTGGTCATTTAGCAGGGAAGAGAAAGAAACGAAAAACTTATTTTAATGATATTGTAAAAAATGAGAAAGGGGAAAAGGATAGCACTGAAAGCAATATCACAGCGTCTCGACAAGTTAGATAACTTTCATTTCATCCTTTGTTAATATTTGAAATGTTGGAGTGAGCACTAAGAATATCTGTCCATTTAATGTTTCTTTTCTTTATGATTTAGACTGCTTCTAAACTTCTGAAACTGGATATTCTTAATTAATATCAACTTTTTTAACCATTGCACGAATGAATTTAATCAAAGGAACATGCTGATTTGATGCAAGAAGAAAATAGCCAGGAAAGCGGTCACAGTATTGGATCACCACAAAACGTTGGTCTGTCAAATTCGATTGAAGTGATACCACTTCTGCAGAGTAACGATGACAGAAAGTTGAAAAGTGATAATTCTCAAACTACTATTATCGATAAAACAAAAGAAAGTAAATTTGTACATTTTTGTATGTTTAAAATAACCAAAATATTAGACATTTTGTTTGTCTTTGTTGCTTATCACCAAGGAAGGAGTGCTGTGGAAAAAAAAAAGTGCAACATGGAAATATATATCCTATCTAAAAGTAGAATCTTGGAGAAACCTAGAAATTTCTAATTTACAGAGTTTTAAAGTCAATTATTGAATTTGAAATTCAAATATCTCGTTACTTTCTAAATGCGGTCAATGAATTTGAAGTTAATTTTTTTTTTTTTTTTTTTTTTTTTTTTGTTACAGCTAGTGCTGTTTCTCGTCAACATTTAACGGAATGGCCCGAATCTGTTGAATGTTATGATAGCGTTATTGTTTCTAAACCATCAGGAGAACATCCCGAAGCAACAAGACCTGATTCAGATGATGGTGTTGTACCAGATAATGATGATGTCAGTTACAGATTCTCTCGAAATGTTATTGATTTTTAATATTTAAGTTATATGTTGGGCAGGTTGATCTATAATAAGGTTTTGATTAACCTCTTTGTGAGCTATTTCCTACTCTTTGTTTAAAGTTGGTAAAATTTGCAGAGTTCTGCATCATCCAAGGAAGAGAATAACGAAAAAGGACGAGTGATTAGAAAAAGGATGAAAAGTCATGAGGAGATGGTGAAGCCAATATCCGATTCTGAAAAAGTCGGTATACTGCTATTTTTTTTTTGTGTGTGTGTTGAAAGGATAAATACTACATGAATCCATGAAAAGATTAGAATTGTTTGATTTCAGGAAAATCATGTAGTGAATGATGAAAAATCAGCACCATCTACAGCGATAATTGCTTCAAACCTAACCGCTCATATACCTTATGGCATACCATGTGTTCGTGAATTACTCAGGTTATTAAACAGATGATTACTGATTATTATTTTGGTTGTAAAAGTTCTAATTACAAAAATCAACGTTGTATTTCTTGAATAAAAGCACGTGTTAAATCAAGCAAGCTGAGGAACCAACAGTGAGTGCAAGCCAGCAAAAGCTGGAACTAAGAAAAGGATGCGGTGAGTCAGATGAGCACTTAACAGAAAAAACTATTTTTATTTACATATATATATGACATAAATTCTTGACAAGCTGATTCAGTAATTTATTAAGCAAGAAATGCTGTAAATTACATTTCGAACTTTGCTAAAAATGTTGAACTCCAAGTTTTTATAGGTTTTTAATTGCTCTCACTAATCCTTTGGATCGTGCTAACACAGAATCAATGATTTTGATGGGTTTAAATTTGCTTACCGTTGCATTGGAAGCTGGCGCCGATCATGTTCGCAGTTTTTCGTTGCTGATGCCATTGGTGAAAGATGAACTTTGTCGTTCGCTGTTACAAGTATTACTTAAAATATTTGCACATTTGAGTAATTTAATTCATATTATAATTCAAGATATTCAAGCACAGATGTCTCTTAATCATTGTATTATAATTTTCTATAACTACGTATCACTATTGGAAGCCGCTCCGAACAATTATTTGTTTATACGTAATCAAACTATCAAAACTTCATTAATAAACGTTCATATTATATGTCATAGCAGACCTAAAAATGAAACTATAATTTGAAACTCTCGTTTTAGCTGTTGGATACTGAAAAATTGCCCGTATTTGCTGCGACGAATCGTCTTTGCTTTTTGTTGTTTGAGGGTCTTCGTTCGGACCTGAAATTCCAACTTGAAATGTATTTTCTAAAATTACAATCAATCGTTACTAGTGAGCAGGTCTTATTTGTATTTTATATATTTCTTAAACTATTTTAAAACTTCCTGCCGCGGAAAATTGGCATGTAAAAAATTAATATGTTTTGAAGCTTTGATGTGTAAAAATAAAATTTTGACTTTTTAGACTCGTATTAGTTATGAACAAAAAGAAATGGCACTAGAAAGCATTGTACAGTTATGGCGTATAGCGGGACTAGTTACGGAAATTTACTTGAATTATGATTGTGATTTATATTGCTCAAATCTTTTTGAAAATCTTACCAAGGTAAACATTTGCTTTTTCGTCAAGTTTTTTTTTTTTCTTGAACTTATTGTATTATGCAGCATAAGAATTCCATAATTGCAAGTGCAACAAATAAAATTTCATCAATTTGCTACTTCAAGCTTCTTCTTGAAAATGCGTTTCCTGTTCTTGGTTTGCGTTCTATCAATCTATTATCTCTGGATGGTTTACTTACTGTAATTGATACGATTGATAACAACTGTGTATACAGGCAGGCTGGTGGTGTTCATCAGAAAACCGCTATTCCAACGTAGGTTTAGTTTGTTGAGTTTTGGTTTATGACCTCATTTTTCTCAGTTTATGGATTTTTTTTAGTTCGATATCAGCGCAGTTGCACTTACCAGCTATTAGTGGATATGCTTTTGGAAGACAGAATGCAATCGATGAAAGTTTATGTAAGTTGTTAAAATTGAATATCACAATGATGATATGCGTATATCAAAGGGCTGCTAAAGTCGGAGAAATTTGTCTAGTAAAATTTGTAATTTTGATTTAAAAATCATGTTAGAACAGTGTGAGAGGAGAAAAGAGAAAGAACAGATCTTAGTCTAATCACAGCAAGTCAAATTTTGACGTGACACAATATTGATGGCGTAGAATAGGGTTGAACTAATTGGCATTGGTGAAGTTTCACTGCAGAACATATTTTTTTTATAATTTGTCCTTTAAATCTTTAATAATTAACCGCTTGTAGTATTGCACTTTCTTTAAGCAATTACTGCACTTTTGAAACATTTTTACTTTCTATAGCATTGCACGCAAATCGAATGGCTCCATCATCTTCTCCTCCATCAATTATCGAAGTCATCGAGAGGAAAAAGAAAAAACGAATTATTACAGAAGCGACAGAATTTTTTAATCAGGACCCAAAGAAAGGTTCTTTCTTTTATCAAAAAATTGAGTTTTAAATGATAATTTGAAGTCAAATAGTCAGGAAAGCTTATAACTGTGGATTTTATAGGAATTGAATTTCTTAAAGAGAAGAAAATTTTAAAATCACCTCTGGATCCTGTAGATGTTGTATCTTGGTTAAGAGAAAATCCGCGCCTCGATAAAAAGCGAATTGCTGATTATATCTGCAGGTTTGTTATATTTCAAAACTCCTAATGCAATTTGGTCTTTTTTTTTGTTTGTTTGTTTGTTTTATTATATTGTTAAAATCGTTGTTTTTCCTTTTATGAGATTGCATATATTGAAGTTTGATATTCCTATAAATCATTAATTTGGTTTATTGTTAGAGCTGTGAAGCACATCACTTACTGTAGTTTTCTTCTATTAGATTGTCGATACGAATTGTTGTGCACTCTGAAAATAATAAATGAAAAGATTCCAGAAATCCAGAAATAAAAAAAAAAACGAAAAAATCCAGGAATTGATAGATAGTAAAATTTCCATTACATTTTTGTGTTCCATAATGAACACATGTGGAACTTTTTAAATTTATTACTTATTTCACATGCATAATCTGCAGCCGAAAAAATGCCGCTGTGTTGGATGCTTTTGTTCGGTCATTTCCATTTGGAAATACTCGTCTGGATGATGCTTTGCGTATGTTTTTGGAAGCATTTAGATTACCTGGAGAAGCTGCAGAAATTTCGATGGTAATGCAGCATTTTGCAGGTTAGTGCTGTAATGTGATGTTAAACACTTAATAAAATTTGGATGGCTTATCTGTCATTTTTATGAACAATATATTCGCTTTGACGTTTAATTCTGAATAACTTGAATAAAACAAATTTTTAGTAATGTTTTATGTGAATGCGGAATTTGACAAAACAAAATTTTTTTTAATGTTAACGTAAAGTTTTATAAAATTAGCTGGAATTTTTGTTTTTCTGGCGAAAGTGGAAAGGGCACTTCCAGTATGACTAAAAATTATAATATCTCCAATTGAGTTTATTTTTGTTTTGTCTTATTGTTTCATTAAAATTTTTAGTCATTGAACAAGCAATGATCTGACATAAATAATTATGATTTCGTCGCTAAAAATGCTTGCGTCATTATTAACTATTATTCTTTTTTTTACGTTTGCTTCCTTTTCACGTTTTTTTTTGAATTAAGATCATTGGTATATCGCAAATGGTGAACCCTTCAATCACGTTGATGCTGCTTTCACATTAGCTTATGCTGTCATTATGCTTAATACTGATCAACACAATCCACAGGTTTTTTTTTTTTTTCATATGCTGTTTATTTTATAATTTACTTAAGGGGAAAAAATATGCAAGAAAGTTTGATTTTTGATTTAATTAATCACTGGTTGAAATTATTCATTGTAATACATTAAGAATTGGTCGAAACATTCCTTAATTTGTATATAAAGTAAAATATGATTTCAGGTGCGGAAAAATCAGCGGCCAATGCAAGCAGAATGTTTTAAGCGAAATTTATCAGGTACTAACGGTGGTCAGGATTTTGATCCTGCAATGTTGGATGAAATGTATAACGCTATCAGGCATGTGATAAAAATATTTTAATTGAAAGTTTGAGCAGAAGGAAAGGCTAGATCTTCTGCAAGATATGAAATATGATTTCATTTGACATTGATAGATAATATTCATTCTTGAAGTCCTTTTCAGAAATGAAGAAATTGTGATGCCTGCTGAACAGGTTGGAATTGTAAAAGAAAATTATCTATGGAAGGTAAATTTCTGTAATTCGTAAGGCAGATAAAATAAATTTGGCTTAGAAGCTCCTATAATAAATAATTCTAATTAAATGACACTGTTAAGTTAGGAGTTAACATATTTTGATAAGAATGAAAACAGACTTGAATAGTTATATAATTTTTCATGCTTAGAGTGGAGGAAAATTAAGTTCAGAAAAATTTTTTGCTGAAACCATGTTTTGATTTCAAAATGTTCCCATTAAGATAGTGTCAAAGTATGGAAGATAGTAGTAGGATTTGTTTACAATATTGGTAGGAAAGAGAAAACAACATTTCAAAATTTTATTCTAACAATATGTTAAATTTTTTAGGTTTTATTACGACGTGGTGAAACGAAGGAAGGTGAATTTATCCATGTACCAGCAGGATGGAATGACCATGATTTATTTAGTATCACTTGGGGTCCAGCTTCCGCGGCACTATCGTTTGTATTTGACAAAAGTGGAAGAGATACCATTTTGCAGGTATTAAAAAATCAGTGCTCTTATAACCAGTGAAGTTTTTTGCTATTTTATCATTCAGCTTGTGAATGGTTATTCAAAATTTCAGAAATTTTCGATTTCAGACATGTTTTTTAGATATTTTAAAAAAATTTTCAAAAAAAATTTCAAATTTTTCAGCAGAATTTTCAAAAATAGTTGTTCAGATCAACATTTCAGAAAGTGCTGAATGGATATCGCAAGTGTGCATCTATAGCTGCACATTATGGAATGAGCGATGTTTTCGACAATTTAATTATTCATTTGTGCAAATTTTCTACTTTGATGGCTACAAATGAAGGTAAAATAGTCTGTCAATTATGTCATTTCTCTGGTTTGAAACGAAGGAAAGTGATGGAAATTTTGGGATATTTGCAGTAATAGCACTGCTTTGTTTATTATTGTAATTTATAGAGAATCCGGAACAGAGTCTGGAAATTCGGCAACATGGGGTTTTGATTGAAAATTCCAATCAAAATGCGGAGCAGATTGCAATTGCTTTCGGTGAAAACACAAAAGCGCAAATGGCTGCGAGAGCTATGTTTCAGCTGGTACATGCTCATGGTGACATTCTTCGAGAGGTAAACTAATTTTATTCTATAATAGTTTTAAATTTTTCTTAAGTATTTTCTGTAATATGAATGTTTCTTTAAGGATTTATCCTTACTGAATTATAGGGCTGGAAAAATGTGCTAGACAGTATTTTACGTTTATTTTATGCCCGTTTATTGCCGAGTACAATGACGGAAGTAGAGGACTTTGTGGATAGCAAAGGATGGGTATCGATACAACGAGTATTACCACCGTAAATTCTGTTATATAATTATAAACGTAGCTAAAGGAAATTTAATCGATTTCTGAATCATTAGCTTGTTTACTTCTCTTATGAAATCTTGCAGAAAGTTATCAACTAATCGAAGCGATTCTGGTTTGCTTAGCTGGCTTGGACTTAGCTCGAATTATGACAACAAGGAATTTACGCCAACTGCCGATCAGCAACAACTTATTAAAGTACAGTTTTTACGTTTTCTGAAATTTGAATCATTTCTGATACCTATAAATTGGCTTGTAATTACCGAACTATGAAATCAACAGTTAGCTTTGGAATTTTTCAAATAAAAAGTTTTATGTCATGTAGGTAGCTCAAGAAGTGATAGCTGAATGTCATCCGGAACAGCTCATCATTGATGGTAAATACCTCACTTCATCTGCACTTTCTGAATTCATTAGTACTATTATTCAAGCTTCTACAAATGTTGCTCACACTGAAATGGATAAAGGTGAACCTGTGACAAGAAAATTGAAAGAACAGGTTAGTGTTTTATTTTTTTTTTTGGGGGGGGGAGGGTTTCTTTATCTTCTAATTTCTCAGATTTCTTAATTTAGACTGCATTCTCAAGGACTTTGTAACTAGTGAGCTTATAAGTTTACTATCACTTTGAACTATTTATTATGCAATACTACTAGTACTTCCTTATCTATGCAGAAATCCATGATTATATTTTTCAGTTTCGTTCACTACAAACCTTTAACCGTCTTGTTTTTGTGGGTACAATTAACGAAGCATTATTTTCAGGAAGAGGATGCACTTGTACTTTACCTGGAAATGATGATTAGCACAGCACTGGAAAATAAAGATCGTTTATCTCAAATATGGACACCAATCAAGCAGCATTTGAAATGGATTATGAGTAGTTTTGGTCAGAATCCGTTGATTGTGGAGAGAGCTGTTGTTGGCTTATTAAGGATTGCAAATAGGAATTTGTATCATCTTAAAGATGATATTGCTGATGAAGTGCTTCAATCTTTAGGGATTTTACTGGTTTGTCTTATTTTGAAAATCTCACAACATAGTGTCAATATGTTTCGTCTAATATTTATTAATTAGTCATTTTTGCTTCAGAAACTATCACCTCCAGCTATGTTTATGTTTTCGCGACAAATTGCATATGGATTACATGAATTGTTGCGCACAAATGCTGCAAATGTACATCGACGTGAACATTGGGCAATTCTTTTTGGATTAATGGAAGCTGTAGGAGCTGGTGTCTATCCGGAGGATTTCAATACACATATTGATACTGTAAATTATTAGTTATGCGTTTTTTGTTTAGATTTCACTTAGCTATTTTTACTATGCTATTATTGTTGTGTGTAGTTTTTTCTTTTTTCTGTTTTCATTATAGCAATACTAATGCGAATAAAATTAGGGTGAGTTTGATGCATTACTTTTCTTACATAGATTAGAATGAAAGTGTAATAATTTTTTGCGAATTTTTTAAAGTTCCTTAGGATTTTTAGCCTGCTTCATCTCAAAGAAAATCGAAAATCCTAAATCGACAAGTGCATAGTGATACGGAACCAAGTTTAAGTCGTCCTCGAGTTGATAACACAAATGAAACAATGTCTGTTGACAGAGGTTACACATCTGATGTTGTTCAAGGTATATTATATATTTCTACTTATTATTCATCAATTATTTCTACTTTTATTTTATATCGTTTTTGCTTATAACTAAAGTTCATATGCAAAAATATTTTTGTAAAATTTATTGCGTAATTTTTTGCAGGATCAGTATCATCCTTTTCGTCTCTTTCAGAACATATCGATAGTGCAGCTTCATTATTAAAGGAGACAAGCACAGAATGGATACATGTTGATCACAAAGATGGTTTGTTTTAATTATAGATTAGTATTTGTGTGCACAATCTTTTAGAAGAAAAAAAGGAGATATGAGAAAAAACAAGAGAGTTTTCATTATTCGGGAATTGCTATTACTTAATTGTTGTTTGATTTGCATACAAAACAAAATCAGTTAACAGCTTTTCTTTTCAATCTTTTTTCAGTGATCGGTACTTCATCTTAATAAATAAGCAAATATAGATACTTCTTTTTTTCTTAAAGAAGGGTTTAGAATGAGATAACAGGATTTCGAAAAAAAAAAAAAAAAAAGAAAAAAATACGTTTTCAGCAGTACTTGCTACGCAGCAACAGCAGCTCCAACTTAAGCCAACTGGAAAGCAGCATCTTTATTCGAGTGTTTTTGATCGTGGTACTGTTGTGCTGCGGACTAATCTCATCAGGTTGTTTTTCGAAATTTTACAACTATTTCAGTTGTTTTGCAAAATGAAAATTTTAAATGTTAATCTTTCAATGCTTTGATAAATTTGGAAATAAATTGTTTTATTTTAGACACGATCCTTTAGCGTTTCTCAAAGTGGGAGAAACGCTAGCATTTCTGGTACGAGATGCAGCTCACATCACTCCTGATAACTTTGATTCGTGTATTGAATGTTTGCGTTCATGTACTGAAGCTAGTCTGGATGGTGGACGGTATACATATGTTTTATTTCTGGTTTTGCTATATATAGCTTAATGGATTAAGTTATGGCGATTTTTCTGTTTGCTTTTAGATGATTTTTTAATCTAAGATTCCAAATAAATTTCAAATGTTGCAGATATGCTGCAGGTCCGCTTAGTGGTGATGCTCAAAGTCAGCTGCGAAGTGTTCTAAAAGATGAAAAGTTAAAGCATAGTACTAAACAAGGTTATTGGTTTGTTAGATCTTTAGGAACGGTTCATAATATTGTGAATGAATGGATTATTTTAAAGAAAATTTCTTCATTATTATATATGATAGGTGGAAATTTAAAAATTCGAGTTTATATTGCAGATAGAAATAGCCATAGACGCATGTCTTTGAAAACTGGAAGTAGCTATGAGGACGAAGAAATGTCAGCTCAAGCTGAACCACAAAAGTTATCAGCAAGCTATCAACAGGTTAATGTTTTTAATTTTGCTACACATAATTTGAAGTGCTGATGAAAATTTGATTAATGCTATCTTTATCAATCTTCCATATTTTTCGTTTGAACTGCAAAATTTTTTCATAAATATTGTGATTTTTTAAAGTGTGAAATGAATATTGTAATTCGCTGTTTTTACCCTTTTCATAAAATTCAATGAATGTTCTTTTTTTACAGGTTGCCTTCCAGATACTTGACTTGTGTCACACATTGCATGTGAAAGGTGCTGCAATATATCGAAGTTGGGCTGATGGTGGAGCTAAGGTAAGCCATCTTTATCTCTTTTTTTTTGTAGCATCATCAATTTAATATTTTTAATTATTCAGATTTTGCTGAACATTGAATTATGTTTTAGATTGATGCTAGTTTACCAGCTTTATGGAACCATTGTTGGCGACCACTTTTACAATGTATAGCTCGTCTCTGTTGTGATTGTAGGCGACAAGTACGAACACAAGCGCTTAATTTCCTTGTGGTAAGCCTTTTGTATTTTAATTGTGCAAATGTTAAGCACAAACTCATCAAATTTTTATAGCGAGCCTTTCTAATACCGGAAATGCAAGTGATGAAAGGCAAACAATGGGAAGAATGTTTTGGTGAGATACTTTTCCCTCTGCTACAAAAATTGCTCGAAAATTTATCACCAATGGATCCAATTGGAATGGAGGAGACAAGAGTACGAGTTATGCAACTTATCTCGAAAATTCTGCTCAATCATTTAACGTTGGTTTAAATTTTTGCCTTGAAATCTGATTAAAATTTATCGTATCTTTTTGGATTTGGAAGCTAACATCAGCAAAATATTCTTGGAAAAGATGGATCAGAATCTTTTTCACCAATCTAATTTAAAGTTAGGGCAATGTTAGTGTTGTAGTTAACCAAAACTAAGTTCATTTTTACTACTGTAAAAAGGCTATTAAATGTTTTTTTATCGCCAAATCAAGGTTAAAAATTTTTTTTAGGCCTTTGAGCTTGTTGCCATCATTCCGATCGTTATGGTTACGTTTGCTAGATTATATGAATCAGTATCTTCATGCGGATCGTAGTGAACTTTTATCAGAATCAATCCCAGAATCGTTAAAGAATATGATCCTCGTCATGGACAATACTGAAATGTTCAATACGATACCTGATTTATATGATATGACTGTTACACGTATTGGTACATTCTTGCCAGAGTTACTTGCTGAAGTGATGCCTGGCCCACCAAGAAGGTGCTTTTATTGTTTCTACTTTGGATTTATACATTTAGAATTTTATTGAAATATCCGTTCTAGTAAGGTTTTATTTATTTTTATATTTTCTAGGTTGGATTTGCCTGATATGAAATTACAAGAGACTCCAGATTCATCTCTACAAAACAGAAACCCTGAAATTACTAACCTCGGTTCTAGCGAAACTGCATCAATACTTCCTCAACAATTCAGTATTGATAGACAAGTGCTAATCGCCCCACCAATCGATTTAACTACGCAGTCACAATCTCCAAATCTTGAGCAAATGGAATCTGAACATATCATCCATGACAACGAAACTTCTAAGTGTGCCAATTTATCAGAAGCTGCAGTGGAAATTTCGATTCCAGAATTGGTAGAAAATTTTATCTTTTTGTTGTTACAGTGTTTCCGAAGTTTAATGCTACATTTATATGTTATTTAATCTTATGATCTATAGATTATATTATTAAAATATTGTCAAACTAATGTAATAGTTGTTTTATTTTTAAATTTCATTTCACTTTTTTACAACCAGCTGTTTACATTTACTTATGTTGACGGATTACTTACAGGAAGAAGTAATCGTTCATCCCGGTAGCACTTCCCCGCCTATGCAGTCGCATTTTATAACTCCTGAAGCAAATATGCAATCTTCGATGCCAACTTTAAATGCAGAATCGATTGTTTATAGTCGAAGTGGAATAACATGTGGTGAACAGTGTTCAGGTCAACAATTGTCATGTGCTCAAACTGCACAAATATACAATACTGATTATCGTTACGATGCTGCCGGAGTGACTAACGTGAATGACGAGACGCAGTTTGCTACGTCATCAATGGAACTATATCGAGTTTGTGCTTTTCTTATCAGTTATACTTTTATTTGCATTGTTTATGTGAAATTAGTGTAAGCAAATTTATTTATGTAAGCATATTCATAAGTAAGTTTATGTAAAATTAACTTTATTTTGACAACTTCATTTTTACCACTAAAATATTTATCTGTTCAGGTAGCGCCACCTCATTTATTGTATGCTCAACAACAATTACAACAGCCTCCAATTATGGACTCACAGTCATCACAAATCTCGTATCAATTAACTTCGAATCCAGTGCCAATGATGATGTCATTTGGTGAACCTTTATTTCCATCACCAAACAGTGCATTTTCACCTCCAGTATCTTATGCTGAGGTATAAAGTTTTAGTCTTATTACTCATATTATTTATACTTTTTTTTTTAAATAATAATTCTAAGAAATGCGTGAGAATCAATGATGACAATCATAAATATTGTTATATAAAAGTGATAATTGTTACTTTTATCATATTTTTTTTATCTTTTTGAGTAGTGAAACTTTCAGTCAGCACTGAAGGAAGAACAAAATATGGTGGTAACATCTAAAATGGCATAGAATGAATTAGCAGGTCCATCGCGACTGAGAAACAAGCAAAATGGACTACTAGTGGATTTCTTTTTAATTTACATACAGACATTTTGTAGGGGCTCTCTCATTGGGATTATGCATTCCATAGTGGAAGCTTATTGTTATTTGTGCTTAGTTTTAGTTTTATTATTATCATTGATTAGATTGGTATTTTTGTTCTGTGATTAACTTACCTTTGTCTTTTTAATGAAGTGTAAATAAGTTAGAATTAAATATGTGATATTTGCATTGCTAAGGTTTCCTAAAAATTTGTTAGTTTGCTCTCATTTTCTAAACATGAAGAACTGGTTTCTTAAATTGCTGTATGATTCGATAATATTGTCGTCTTTTTAATACTCGTACTCTTTCAGATTATTTGTTATATTTTACACACTGGCATAATTTATCGATAGTTTTCCGAAGATAGTAAATTAGATTAGACGTTTTTGTAAAAGTAAATTTTAGATGATAGATGTTTCACATTCGAGAAAGAGGGAGGTATATGTTCATTTATAATTATGATGAAGCATTTATATTTACAATTTAAATCATATGGCACAAAAATTTTCTGCAAAATACCTTCAAGATGTTTTTTCTTATCTTCAAGATGTTTTTTTTTTTTTTAAATTTTAATTCCAAAACTGTATAACATAGCAAACAATGTTAACAAATCACTTGTTTGATTTCTTTTTTCTCCTTTTCTTTTTTAAAACAAAAGAAAAAGAAAATTTGCTCATTTTTTGAATGGCAATATATGGGAAGAACAAAGTATTGAAGTGCTGAAACTTTAAATTTAAAATATTTAGTATATTCAAAAAATTATATATTAGAAAATTTATGAATTGTTTTATTATTTTTATAATTTCCACTTCGGCGCACAATTCAACTGATAAGACTTTGTGAAATTATAATTTTAAGACATTTGGCAAACGAAATCGAATCATTTTCAAAATTCGAATTGTAATATGCAAAATGATGTTTTATTTTATTTTTGGAACATAAGATGCTGTTCGCTGCTAATTTTTGAAATTTAAACTTTCAAATGCGAAACATTTAATGTTTTTAATTGCATTTTTTTTTTCTAATTATTCTTAATAACTTGAATTTTATTCATATAACATAGTATTTAACATTATTTTTCACATTAATGTTCAAAATCAATCTAATCAATTGAATTTTATCAATAATTTGAAACTATTGCACACTTAATTATCTGTTGCACATTTCACAAATTTTACTAATTAATAAATTCAACATAATTACAGTATAGCAATGCTCAAATAGAAAATCTACAAATTCTTTATTTCATTTCAAAATTTGCTCTGAATGCATGAAAAAATAATTTCTGCATTCTACAGCAAATAATTTTTCTTTCACAAAATACATTGAAATGAAAAATTGCTGCTACTATTATGTTAAGCATTATTTCATATCAGAAATGATAAGCAGTGATAAGAACGTTATGAGACTATCGAGATGAATTGAACGTAAATAAAATTTAATCATTTCAATATACACTCTGATAAAAGCTAAGAAATCTGTTTTTTAATTTCAAAACCAGAAAATGTACTGTAATTCATACTACAAACGATAAACTTCAATGCAAATAAACAAAAACAAAATAAAGAATTAATTCGATATAAATTCAAATGCTTCAAATAATTCTGCATGTTTTTTAAATTTCTCAAACTTTTTCTTTTTTAAATCAATCTAATCGGCATTCACTGAATGGAAATCGAAATAGCAACTAGCATTAACGAAAGAAAAATTATAAAAAAAATCGCTCAACATTTTGATTTTGAAAATTTTCCGGTATTTTTATCAAAATTGAAGGTGATTTAATCGAGGCATCGTGAATAATCGTTTTTACTGTTGACAAAAAACCATTATTGTTATTATTATTATTATTATTATTGTTATTATCATTATTGCTATTGCAATAGACAATTTCATATTCGGTCGGTGACATCTGAAAATTTTAACAAGCAGAATTTTTTTTTTAAATGAAGTTTAATTTGCATTCAAAATTGAGGTATACAATACTTGGTTGAAATTTTCTGAGAATAAATAAGTATCGAAATTATAAAATTATCAAATTCCTGCACAGCTAGTTTTTTCCTAAAAAAAAATTGTTCATTTCAAAGTAATATTCATTTTTGACTTCTCTTTCGTATTCATCTAATATCTCTGGTAGTGGTAGATATAAATTTATAGACGGATGCATACCACTCAAACATTAAAAAAGAACATTTTGATGGAAATATAATGTTTAACTTATATAAAATCTAAATTAAACTATCTTGCAAAGTTCTCTTACTTTTACTATAATTTAAAAAAAAAAAAAATTTAAACTTAGCCATTTGCTATTTACAAGAAATTTCTCGATCTGAAAACGTTTTCATTGTCTTTTTTAAATTCACATTTCAAAGTTACTTTTACTTACCACTTCGGTAAGATGAGAATTTCGCATTGTGTCCACCGAATGATGTTGCACACATACTTCTTGCAGTACCATTTCAAAACTTCGTCTTGGTCGATGCATTATAAACACTGCAAAAAAAAAACTTATAAACAAATTAATAGAAGGATTAAAGATGGAAATGAAAAAAAGTTGTTGAAAATATCTTTTATAATTGTTATATGAAATTTTATTTAAAAAAATGTTTCGGATGCTAATTTATATCATTAATTTAAATTGAATATTGAACAAAAACTTCAGTTATTCATTGGATTTATTTTGAATTCCTCTTTTCTTTCTTTTTTTTTTTTAATAAAATTTCAAAAATTTTTTCTAATAATATAATCTAAATTTATAACAATGAATATTTACAGCACAATTGGATAGATTTCGAATATTTCAGTTAAAATTTTAATTTTAATCTAAAACTCTTTGAAAATTGCTGATTGTACGTTTTAGGAAATATCCACAAATACTTTTGTATAAGTAGCTTGAAATGTAATAATAGAAGTTTATTTTTGAGAAATTATCCTATGGTTATAATCTAAAATTTTTAAATTTTTAAAATGAGAGAAAATATGGAACAAATTTTAAATGTAAGCATTTTTTTTTTTCAATGATAGCAATTTTGAATTAATAAATAATACTTGTACATTTGTACAAATTTATTTATTCAGGAGTTCATAGACAAGTAAACGATTCAAAATTAATTCATAAATAATGTTTAAATAATCGAGAAAAAATTTTTCGGATGCTGACATCAATTTAAATTGAATATTGAATTTATTATCAATTTAAATTGAATATTCAATTTCAGTTATTCACTGGATTTATTTTAAATTCTCTTTTCTTTCGCTAAAATACATTAAATTTCTGTGAAATTATTCTTTTGATGTTTTAATTTTAATTTTTTTTATCGAATCGAGAATGTTTGCCTTTTTTTTTCTTCTAAAAATTGGCCTATTAATTTTTCTCTTTTTTTTTCTTCTCATATTATTTGATCTCTCTCTCTCTCTCTCTTTTAGATGGTGGCTCAGTTTGTAAAAATATTGAAATGATCAAAACAGACGATGACTACTCTGAAATCAATAAAAAAAAACGTGTACTTATTTCCTGTTATCTATGTTATTATTAATTGTCCAACAAATAATATTTCATTTTCGTTAATTTCAATTATCATTAACCAAAAAAAATTGCTTTAAATTCTAGACAAAACAATAAATTTTCAATTTTTTGATTTTTTATGCAGTTATTCTAAAGTGAAATATACCTTCAAATATCTGTTATCCAAGTAAATTTTAAATGTTTACATCCATTTTCATTTCATTAATGAAAATTATTGAAAAAATTATTAGTAAATTTAGCAAATATTTCAATGTTACTCATCGAATTCGTTGCTAACTTATCAATTTCAATCATATTTTCATAGCTTTATCATAATTATGTGATTATCATTGAACATTAGCAGAAAGATAAGTGTTTCCGTCATTAGTTGCAGCTGCAATGACGGAGATACGTTTACATACGTTTACATCACGTATTCAATTAGCTTCATTGTTACCTGCCCATATTTACGGTTACATTAATATTAGATTTAGCAATTTGCTTTAATGCTTTTATCATTTTTTGCAATGACACAAACACATTTTCCTTAGTGTCTTTGCGTAACAATTATTATAATTATTTATCATAATTTAATTTAATTTAAGGTTGCAATACTTCGAAGACATTTACGAACCAATAAAAACAATCATGACAAGGTTCCTTGAGTAATTTATTAAACTTTTTTTTTTAAATACTTTTTTTATTAAACAAATAGAAATTTATTTTATTATTTTTAATAAATGCTGTATTAATTTGAAAAAAAACTTATATTAGAACGATAGCAGTAGCACTAAATAAAGCGGTGTTTTAGAAGAAGATTACAATAACAAATTATTTTCAGTTTAGAATTTTTGAAAAATTCCCAAAATTTCAAATTTTAATCTGTAACAAAAAAAAAAAACACATAGTGATAATATGGAACTGAAAATTAATAGAAGTATAAATTTACACTTAATAAGAAAATCGGATTAAAGGGTAAAAAGAATAAAATTGTAACAAAAAATCGTTATAGTTTTTTTCGCTCAATGCATTATAAGTCACGAAAAGGCTACTTCCGGTTGAGAATTATTTGAAATAACAAATCGAATTTGTGATGTCATAGTAAAAAGTGATATCGTTTCAAAGGAAACAGAACTAAGTCCTTGTGTTATGCAAATTTATGAGGCATTTGATGGCAAATTCCCGTTTCTACTGCATCTCGAAATGATCTTCTCTCTAGAGAGATAAACGAATAGAGGGAGAGAGAGAAGGAGAGAGAGAGAGAGAGAGAGGGTATTAATTTTTTGGAAGGAAATTCTCAAATTGATAAATTATCCTGATTCTGTTGTACTGGAAGTTAAAATAAAAGAATTTTGTTGCTTGTGACGTCATACGTCAAAATAGTGCAAATGAAATGAGAAAAAATAGAAATTACGTCTGAAAGCAT